GACTATCCTGTATAGGTAATAATCCTCCCTTTTATCCTGGTTATTAGAAGAAATACATCCCATTTTTATACCTGTCTACCTATCAATAATTCCTTTACGGAAGAATACATTTAAATTTCCCGGGGATTTTCAATGACGTTTTCTGATTGGTTAATGAAAGACCAATGAGAATGCGAAATGACACGGACGTACACACAAAAAAGGCCTTATTTTTTTTTACTATAGTAAGATAAGATAAAATTGAAATAAGTTTCCATTTTTCATTGCATTGCATATTGCCTAACTTTCTGACGCATGGTGCTCATTTTGCTGATTGTTTGAAATCAGCATATTGCAATTTAATGGTAAAAAATTACACTTTTATTGAAATCGAATTGCCATTTAATTTCAATAGTTTCGTTGCACTGTGCTACTTGTGGGGACCGAGATACGTATTTCTCCAGTCTCGCCGTCGATATTCCGTGTCGTATGCTGTTTTACCCGGAAAATTTTTTGAAAGCCCCGTATCGTCTTTTCCAGGTATCATTACTTGTAGCTTCGGGATCGGAAATTCCATCCACGATGACGAGCTCCTCCGAATCGCGAACAACGAATCCGATTTCAAATTCAACACGAACTCATACGACACGTTGACAGAGCAGATAGTCCTCATCGCCCGGCGAGCCAAGACAGTTCCGCAGACGCCGAAAATGGGATCAGAGACCGAAGAAACTCTGAAGGAGATCGGCGATAAGAGGTACTACCGACTGGGGGTCCCGGATAACGGCACGACTGTCATACTGGTCAACGAGAGGGGTGAGACCCGGGGCTACTGGACCTACTCCAACGAGCGGCCGTCCAGTGCCTTTTACGATGGGGTCATGACCGCCGGCGAGACGTTTATTCCACCCCCACCGCAACGAGTTTCTTCCGGGGAGGTTAGACAACGACGAGATGCCTTCCAGGATCCACCGAAGAGAGATGTCATGATTGCGCTTGAGAGTTTTTCGACTGATAGTAGAGTGAGGATGAAGATCGCTGCGGGAGATGTCACCACGTCCGGGGCTACCAGAGTTGAAATCACGTGTTTTGTTATTCTTGTCACGGTTTTCACTTTCACCATTTCTCTCTTAAAATAGATCAATTTGCTGAGCATACGTCATTCTTGGTTTATTCCTGTCGATTTTCGATGGTTTCAATATAAACAAAAATCATGACAGTATGTTGGAGTTTTTTAGCCAACGTGCGTTAAAAATTCAGCATGAAGCTGAAAATCTCAAAACAGAGGGAAAAAGGCGCATGTGAGAACAATTGGACCGAGTTAAGCAGAAAGGAACCAACCCACATTTTGGAAAAAATTGAGTTATGAGTGGTTTTGAACTGAACCACTGCTCTACTATCTATCGCCAAAAATTCTAAGTTTTTGTTGGAGAAAATTTTGCAGAAATTGAACTTGAAGTTTATCTTTTACATTGAGTCTTATGCAGGAGCCAAACTTAAAACCTCTTTTTCTCGGTTCGATCCCGATGTGGCTTGGTTCCTTTCTGTTTAACTCCGTCCAATTTTCCCTCATAGAGATATGCTGTTTGAGATATAGAGGTGATAGAGATATTAAAATATGAGGGGTTGAGATATGCTGTTCTGTATTGATATTTTCAGCTTCATGCTGAATTTTTATCGCACGCTGGATAGAGGAACTCCAACATACTGTCTTACGACCCGTGCGTCCAGCGCGATCATTTTGTGAAAAATCGTGACTTCAAATCTAACATCTGCGCGGCTACTGAGAATGGTGTTGCTTGCTTTGTGCTTGTTCTTTCTTTTAAAAGTACTCTGTTTAAGTAACTAGCATCTGTATATTGCCTGGTCCTCCGTTATATTTCTCGGTGGAAAATGACACTTCCAGGAATAAAATATATCTAGCAATTTCCATTGTTTTTATTTAGTGTTATTTATTTGTTATTTGTATAGGAATGTGATCTCTTCGTTGTGCAATACAGTATTATAAAAAATATAGTATTTTTCACGAAAAGTTTACCAAGTTTTCAACTCAAAATTTTAGCATAACACGCCGCAGATGAATGTTTTTCAAAATTCTCCGCGCTGGATAAATGAAAAGCTAGAAGGGCCTAAGTGCATTATTGGAGCAAATGGAAGTGGACGTTTGTTTTTGAGAAGTTGGGAGCAGGGTAGCAATTTTTTGAAAAATAAGATCTTGAAATTTCATGTGAAACATATGATAAAATTTCAGGGATTTATAAAAAGTGTCTCTCGAAACTAAATGCAAAAATTGTGTTTTTTTTTCTCTTTTTGATGTTTCTGGATGCGTGTTGCATACTCAGCCACTGAAAACTTGTTTCATATTTTTCACAGCTGTTCTGAAATTTCATGAAAGGTTTCACGGAAAGTTCCAATATTTCATATTCCTCATTTTACTTAACCCTGATAAAGTCCAAAAGCCACTTCAACCGTGACCGCGAGTGACATGCACATCCCAAAAAGCTTTTTGCTGCTGGTTGTGCGTCCGGAGTAGAACATGAACGGAAGAAACGCACGACAGGTTTAAAATTTCTGTGAAATTCTTCATGAAATTTCAGGAGACTTGAAATTTATCAATATGGAACGGTCACAGACAAAAATACAAGACCATACAATAAAACTCGAATAAATCGTAGTTTTTTTAAATTTTACGATTAATTTTTATTAATTTTCAATGTTTGATTTCGTAATTTTCAATTCATTTTGAACAATTTTGTAAAAAAAAGCAAGGGCAAACATAGTTTTATAAATATTTTCACTTTTTTCTAAATTATATATTGTTTATTAAATTTCTCCTCTACAAAACTCAAGTGTATCATTTGAAGCAGTAATAAATCTTGGGAAATTGACGGTGAAATCTCCAAACTATGTACCTCAGTTTGCGACGTTGCGGATTTCCTGGCATTCTTTACATTTCACGTGAAAAACTACTGCTCAATGCCAATTCTACAAAACTTCCGTGATTTTTATTCTCGGTGCGAAGAAAATTCTGTGATAACTTCATGTAATGATGCTGGTTTGTTTTCTTTCAAAATAATAAAATGAGATTGGAGATTTTAAAACTCCGCTATAACTAGATATGTGGTCACACCGTGAATATATGACTGATTTAAACCGTTTTATCGAAATATTATAAGATGGGATTGAAACTGGATTCAATAAAAATCGGCGTGCCGTAATTTCAAGGAAGCATTCACCGCAGCTTAACGGAACAAGAGGGATGATTGTCAATTTTTTTTTCTTTAAAAAATAACTTTTTATTCGTTTCCTTGCACAAAAAAAAGAAATGTTACGTTAAAATAGACTGAAGCTATGAATATAAGGACGTCCCGCAAAAATTCAGCGTTTCGCAACTTTTAAACTATATACCAAAGAACTCTCCCAAAAAAGAGGAAAGCGAGAACGGACGTCCTCGACTATTTCCATTCGACTACCACTCTCAATTGAATTTTATCCACTCTTTAACCATATATTGTTCATAATCGCAAATGTTGAGCATCTGCGCACTTCCATCTTTTCACCAAACAGCTAAGCCACTTATTGTATTAGATTATCCACAATAAGCCTCTCTACTTCCGGCATGATTCACGGTGATCCAATTCCAAAGCTACTTAACCTACGTTCACAAAAACACTCAAGTCATGCAGAATCACTTTATCAAACTACCGTTAACCGCGCTTAAGTGAACAGTTCCCACCCTGATCCAGGTTCATCGATCGATTCCGCTCACTTTCCCTTTAGTCTCCTAGTTTTTCCACAGTATGTGCAAACCAGTGTTGTTTTTCGCGTTGTGTGCGACGGCTTTTGGTCATCTGGTCGATCGCACCCTCGAACCAGGGGCTCATGGTCGCGACGTGGTGGAAGCGGTGGTCCATAGGATCCACAAGAGTGGTGTGTTCTCCGACGACAAAGACTATCTTCGCCGCGTGGCCTACGCTGAAAGTAGGTTCGGCGACGATCCAGCGACCTACCGCGAGGGCTACTACGGGGGAATCTGGCAGTGCGATTGGCTCCTGGTGACGCAACATGACGGGCCGTATAACGCAATCAGCCCGCCGCTGAAACGCATCCACGAGGCGATCAAGGATAAGATGGGTATCGATTGGCTCCAGGTAAATAATAGGCGCGGTTTATAATTCGTCGCTTGGCTGACATAAGGGCGTTACTACACATTGAGATGAGCCCGGAAAAACATTGAATTGTATTGAAGACAGGGTTCATTGCAGAGTGCAGTTACGCCTTTATGTCAGGTAGGCGACGAATTGTGTGCTTCTCTTCTGTGTTTCCCTTAACTTGTAAGGGGAGAAAACGTGATGGCGGCTTGCAAATAGACGGTAAGCTGGAGAAAGCATATAAATGAGATTCAATTGAACCGGGTAAAAATCGCCTTCAATTACTGTGATACCACTTCAACGACACGGGAGTTAAAATAGTTGCACGTGGAATCTGGGATTTTTTTCCAGTGCCCCTAACGAAAAGGTAGGAAGGATATTATCATCCTAATTGATAATGGTTCATGAGCACGGCTAGAATTGTATTGTGAGGGAGCAAAGACCCATTCATTGTTCGTGCGAGACTGATGGTGTCAAGTGGTTACAAGCGGTCAAATTCTTTCTGAGAAATTAATTTTTTATCATCTGGCACAAAGAACACCCAAAAATTACAAAAATCAATCCTTTGCAAATATTTCAAAGTCAAAGATCAACCGATTGAGGATTTGAGAAAAAGGCGGTTAAAGTTTGACGGCGCTGTTCCGGCTTTCAAAGAAGCTCATATCAAACGTGCGTTCAAACAGTATTTTAATGTGAATTATGGATTGAAATGGCCCCATGTTCAAGATAGTATTAAAGCATGTGTATTTTAATAAACAATGAAAATCTATGTTATGTAATGACTCCGTAGTGGTTTTTTTAGGTGTAATATGTAGTCATTTTAAATACCCACCTTACGTTACATGTTGCCCTACTTCATCACACATATAAATTGATGATGAAAGTCAAAAAGTGCGTAAATATCAGCGTTTGAAACGTTGCAAGTCTCTGCTCTTTTTTTTTTTTTTAAAAAAAAACAAAATTTGGCCCATTTTCACTTTTTCTCTTTTCTTTTTCTACACGAATATTCGTATGACGTATTAGTGATAACTCGCAAAATTAGTCAATGTGCGAAATTGATATAATCTCTCAAGAGCCAATGGTTTGAATTGAAGCCGACGCCTGTAGGAAGCGCCCACTTAAGATTCAGATCAAAACTGCACTTTCTTCGCCTCTTGATATTACATTGATCGTTTCAATATCCATACCTTAGCAAATTTCCAAACTCCCCAGAGGAAATTTTTACGAACATCACCTAAATTCTGATCAGGGTATAATAAGGGGAAAGATAGTGCTGTTAATCCCCTTCCCCTCCCGTGCCAATAGAATTGCCGCAAGGGTAAACCGGGTTCACTCATTGGCGGATCCAGCAAATTGGCGACATTGTCTTTTCTCCATTTGAATCTGCGGAAATGTATCGATTTTTGGAGGGGTCAGGTGCTCCGACAAGATTCGATTATTTAGCATAGGTTTAAATGAAGGCAATCCGGTGTTGCCAAAGTGCTGGATCCGCCTCTGGGTTTACTCCTTCTTGATAGAGAGCATTCTCCTATATACTTTGTCTTCAGCCTGTTGATTAAGCCTGTTTGTAGTCCTTTATTTTGCTCTGCATTACTTTACTTCCGCTTTTATCTAATTTCTAATTGATATGTTAAACTGTCGTGTATTTAAGGGGAATAATACAAAAATGTGATGTGACAGGTGAAGGAGAAAGACTTGATGAAGCCGTTCTATTCAGGACTCGCCGCCCGAATCCACATTGAACAGACAAACCACCGAGGGATTCCTGACGACATCAGGGGCCAGGATACATTCTGGAAGGTATGGTACGACACGCACCGACGCCAATACGGAGATTTCGAGAAATGGGTTCGCCATTTGCTCGAGGAAGACATGCGCACTGTTGGCGGGAAGATAGACACGATGATGGTCATGGATGGAAGCGGTAGTATCACCGAGATATATTTTCAGTTGGCATTGGACTCGCTGGCTCGCTTGGTCAACATCTTCGACCTCCAGGAGGCCAATGTAGGTTTTGTCGTATACTCCCTTGAAGTGACCAAGCTTATACCTTTGATGAACAATTTGACAATGTCCAAACTCCAGGAGTCCATTCGGAAGTCTCAGTGGCCGGCCCTCGGTACCAACACCTCCGCTGGAATGTTCGCAGCTATCGATGAATTCCGAAAATTATCAGATGCCCGGAAAGAAATGGGCATACCACGACTCTTGGTTGTCTTTACCGACGGGAAACATACTGAGGACCCGGATCCTGGTGTTGCCGCTGAAGTGGCTGCAAAATCAGGTAATCACAATAATTGAAGATTTCGTTAAGTCGAGGCGTTATTGTTTAACGAGACCAGATTTGAAGAGATTAGAACCAGAAGTCTTAATTGCGTTGCTACGGTCTAAAGTTTCACCGAAAACTCGTTTTTTATTCATAAATTAATATATCAACGATGCAAGTCGGCAATCACATAACTCGGTTTGCAACGTCGCAGACTTCCTGTCATACTTTATTTTTTAAACGGAAAACTACTCAACAGCAATTCTTTAAAACTACCGTGATTTTTCTTCTCTGTGCGAATAAAATTTTGCGTAAACTTCAAAGAATGATGCCAATTTGTTCTCCTTTAAAAAAATAACATAGAGGCGGAGATTTTCAGACAACGCAAACGAGTTATGTGATTGTCGACTTACACCGTTGATATGTATGTGCTGCTTAGTTTTCAGGAGGCATTTCGACGGTGTCGGTCGGCAATCACATAACCCGGTTTGCGACGTCGCAGACTTCCTGTGATGCTTTATTTTTTAAACGGAAACCACTCAACGGAAATTCGTTAAAACTGTCGTGATTTTTCTTCTCTGTGCGCAGAAAATTCTGCAAAAGCTTCAAGGAGTGATGTCAATTTGCTCTCCTTTAAAAAAATAACGTAGAGGCGGATAGATTTTCAGACATCGCAAACGAGATATGTGATTGCAGACTCACGCCGTCGATTCGTCTAACTACAAAAAATTGCACAAAATATTAAAAAAAAAATGGCCACCTTTTTTGAGAGACTAAATACACATTCAACGGGTCACTAAACCATGAGCGAATTTTGACTTGCGGATACATTTTTTTGAAGGTACATGACGCGTAGAACACGATGAGTCTATTTAAAAATGCGAAAAAATAACTCAAGAACCGAGAAATAAGCAATTCGAAAAGCTTAGGTATCCTTTCCGCAAAGAAAACACCAATTGAAAAACACAAATAAAAAATACAAAGGTTCAGCGACCCACTGAAAGACTGAAACGTTGTATCCTCAATGCCCCCTCTGGTCCCTTTGCTCTTCTAGCTCTTACCCCTTCAATTAATACCATGCATTGTTTGGTGTTTGGTCGAGGAAAGGTGTTGTGGAGTCATTCTAGAGGAGTGATCTTAATAAAAATGTTAGATTGGGTAAATTCTAAATATATTTATTTCTTTCTCTTTCTTCTTGTTTCAGGAATAATAACTTGTGCCCTCGGGATCGGCCCCAAAGTCGACAATGACGAATTACTCAGAATCGCGAACAATGAGTCTGATTTCAAATTCAACACAGATTCGTACGAGACGCTGAGGGAGCAGATAGTCCTCATCGCCCGGCGGGCGAAGACGGTGCCGCAGACGCCAAAAATGGGATCAGAGACTAGCGAGACACTGAAGGAGGTCGGCGAAAAGAGGTACTATCGACTGGGAATGCCGCAGAATGGTGTGAAAATCAAATTGGTCAACGAGAGGGGTGAGACCCGAGGCTATTGGACTTACGCAGGCGAGCGGCCGTCTAGTGCCCTTTACGATGGGGTTTTAACCGCGGGGGAGACGCTTATTCCACCCCCATCGGCGCGAGTTTCTTCCGGGGAGGTTAGACATCGAAGGAACGTGAGCCTGGATGCACCGAATAACGATGTGATGATCGTGCTGGAGAGTTTTGCGACCAACAGTGAGGTGAAGATGAAGATTGTTGAACATGGTGCCAAGTCTGCGGCAATCAAAGCTGAAGTCATTTGCACTGCTCTTATTTTGGTTTTCGCTCTCATTATTGTTTTGTTGAAGTGACTGACATCGGTGGTTGTATAGGATGGTAATTTCATGTAATAAGGGTGGAGAGGGATCCCTGTTTCAGAAATTTTTGCGGAAATTTTTCATAAATTTTTCGTCCTCCAGACGAAAGAATTTAACTCCGTTCGGAGGTTGCAAAATTGACTGAGACAATTTAATTTTTTACAAGATTGCGCATGTGCAGTTTTTGTAAAAAAATTTCCTGATTTTTGCATGAGATCCGGGGGACAATCAGTGAAATTTCCCGTCAGAAGTGCTCAAGATTCATCTGGGTTAAAATGGAATTTGTTAGGAAGAAATTTGGTAACACTGAAATTTAGTTACACCTTTTCGTAAGGCGAACGACAGATTGTGGGATGCTCGTAAATTGTAATAAAAATTCGATCTCACATGTGAGTAAAATACCTAGTTGCAATCAATTAAAATAGAACAATTACAAAGGAATAATCAGGTTTTGAGTTTGCTCATTTAAAATAAAATACAGCAAGTGAATGGTCACCTGCATTGTCCTGTGCATTGCGTGAGTATGAAGGTAGAAATTACTATAAGTGACAGCATATTCTACGATTTTCAGAAAATTCTAAACTTGCCCAAATTTGCCGAAGCCTGATGTTATTCACCTCCTACTTTTCCCGTATTCCTCATGTATGTTTTAGCAACGGAGCGCAAACAAAAAACGCCTTCAGTTCTGTGTTTATGCAACACCGCGATATCTATATTTGAATAGCTTTTGTTCGTTCGTTTAGACCATTAAAAAATTAAGAATTAAATTACGACAATGCATGTCTCTGCTTCAAGGTGCACCAATGAAAGAGCATTCCAATGTCACTAATCTTGCAAACATAAACGATCATCTAAACTAGTTTCACCTCTACTCCCAATAAACTATGAATTCAAGACGAAAATTACCGTCGCAAAGTTTACTTATTGCAAAGAATGTACCTAAGTTGCACAATCCCAGCAACATTGAAATGCTCTTAGCTCCTTTTTGCAAAATGCGATCCAATTGGTTGTTGCTGCAAGAAAATAGTTTCCCACAACCTGCTATACAATGCTCCAGTGACCATGTAAGTTGGTCCGAGCACTAACTTTTCGGGAAGAAAGCCTTTCCCCGACCTGGTTTTTCACTAAATACCCGCCCGAGTTTCGCATATCTTCCGTTTCTCCTCATCGCAGCTTTCATCAAATCGCAATTGCCCGGAAACTAGAACCGCACATCTTATCTGATAAAATCGTTCGCCCTTTAGACCGATTCTGGGGGATTAGGCTGGACCACTCGATGAGTCAACTGTTGGTCTAATTTCATTACGTGAACGCAGAAGAAAAACGGGGTAAAAAATCAATAATGTGTGATCAATTTTCAAGGAAAATTTCGTAATTTCTCCTACGATTTTAAATAGATTAAAACGCGTAATATCCAAAATCTAAGCTCAGATTCGGATTCCTCGTGAAAAACTAATGCGATTTCATGCATCATATGTTAAAATAGCGTGAAGGAAAGAGGTTTTATGACGTTAAAAAACACTAATGTGTGATCAATTTTCAAGGACAATCCTGTAATTTCTCCTACGATTTTAAATAGATTAAAACGCGTAATATCCAAAATCTAAGCTCAGATTCGGATTCCTCGTGAAAAACTGATGCGATTTTATGCATAATATGTTAGAATAGCGTGAAGGAAAGAGGCTTAATGACGTTAAAAAACACTAATGTGTGATCAATTTTCAAGGACAATCCTGTAATTTCTCCTACAATTTTAAATGGATTAAAACGCGTAATATCCAAAATCTAAGCTCAGATTCGAATTCCTCGTGAAAAATTGATGAGATTTCATGTATCATATGTTAGAATAGCGTGAAGGAAAAAGGTTTAACGACGCGTATGGATTCTGTCGTACTTCCCCTTTGAACTACGCCGCCGCCTGTCGCCCGAGTGAAACCGAAAGGCGAGGCGCCGCTTAAGCGCCGGCTAATAAGCATTCGGTTTCGTCGCGAGGAATTTCTCACGATAAATTCTTATTCTTCCTCCTCCGCTGACCCACTGAGCACTACCCATGTTGCCACGTTGCATTCATATGCTCGAATCAGTATGCCTACGTTACGTCTCTTTCCTTCACGCTATGATCGAGTATGATACATGGAATTGCATCGATTTTTAACGAGGAATCCGAATCTGACCTTCGATTTTTGGTATCACGCGTTTTAAGTCAAATTTTTTAAATTCAAAAATTAGAAATGACAGACGTGGTATAAAATGCTATCTCAGCTCCTGTTCGATGGATTTTTGTGAAACTCGGTGTCATGGTATGATACATGAAATCGCTTCGATTTTCTGCGAGGAATCCGAATCTGAGCTTCGATTTTGGGTATCACGCGTTTTAAGTTAGATTTTCTAAATTCAAAAATCCGAAATGACGGACGTGGCTTAAAATGCTATCTCGGCTCCTGTTCGATAGATTTTTCTGAAATTAGGTGTCGGGGTACGACCGTATGACACATGAAATCGCATCGATTTTTTTACGAGGAATCCGAATCTGAACTTCGATTTTGGGTGTCACGCGTTTTAAGTAAAATTTTTCAACTTCAAAAATCCGAAATTACTGAAGTGGCTTAAAATACCATCTCGGCTCCTGTTCGATGGATTCTCCTGAAATTCGGTTTCAGGGTATGATACATGAAATCGCATCGATTTTTTACGAGTAATCCGAATCTGAGCTTCGATTTTGGGGATCACGCGTTTTAAATCAAAATCTGTCAAAATTCAAAAAATTCAAAATTCGAAAATCCGAAATGACTGAAGTGGCTCAAAATGATATCTCGGCTCCTGTTCGATGGATTTTTCTGAAATTCGATGTCAGTAGGTATTTTTCGACGGGAAACTCGAATTTTTAGTCCATTTTTTAAAATTCTCAAATTCAAGATGGCGGACGTGGGCTAAAATGCTATCTTTGTTTCTGTTTGTTCGAGTCTTGTGAAACGCGGTATCACACGGTATTTTTCAACGGAATACTCGAATTTTTAGTCAATTTTTTAAAATTCTCAACTCCAAAATGTTGGATGTGGCCTAAAATGAGCCCCGGTTCTGGCCTCCGTTTCTGTTCGTTAGAGCTTTGTGAACCGTGGGACCAGGTGTACTTTTCGATGGGTAACTCGAATTTTTAGTCGATTTTTGAAAATTCTCAAATCCAAGATGGCGGACGTGGCCTAAAATGCTATGTCGGCTCCTGTTCGATGGATTTTTTTGAATATCAGTGTCTGAGGGTATTTTTCGACCGGAACCTCGAATTTTTAATATGTTTAAAAATTCTCAAATCCAAGATGACGGACGTGGCCTAAAATGCTATGTCGGCTCCTGTTCGATGGATTTATGGCGCCCCCTTACTACATGCCTACTCTTGTATTTCTGTACAGCCGTAAATTTAGGGTCAAGGAGCGCCTGACCGTCTATGGACCAGGTGGAATTTTTGTCCTAAAAATTTACCTTTAGACGGCAATTCTCTTCATATTTTGTCTATGGTTTTTATGCCTCCCCCCTTCTCGCGGACTCTCTTTTCACTTTTCTTGCCTCCTTTTTCCTTCCATTCCCCCCTTCTTCCTTGCTTTCACAGCCCAACCTTGTTTCCTTTTCCTTTTTTCCCCTTGTCCTTTCTTCCCTTTTTTTCCTTTTCCTTTCCCCCCTTTTTTCCCCCTCTCTTCTTCTTTTGTGGCGCCCCCCAAAGGCTGGCGCCCGTGTGCGCCGCACGCCCTGCACACGCCCTAAGTCCGGGCCTGCAATGAACCTCAGTCTGACGGTTCATAACGGACTTATTGAAGCTAGTTTGTAGCCTGTGGCTCACAGGAGTCGCGATTTGCGTCGAGTTTAAAATGAAATCAGCATCAAAGATAAATTGGATTGCATTTTGCAAAAAGGAACCAAGAGCATTACAATGTTGCTAAGATTGCGTATCTCACATTTTTTGCAGAATATTTTTGAAAACATGGAAAAATTAAAGTAACGAACGTAATTTTCGTCTGTAAGTTCATAGCATTGCGGGAGTTAAGATTTAAGTTGTTTTGATCATCAGTTTATATTTACAAGGTGAAGAAAGCTGTAAAATCTTTACTTACCGACATTGGAATGCTCCTGGTCTCTTTTTGCAAAATGCAATTCAATTATACAAAGGTGAGAAAAATGGTGGTCGCTAATACTACCTCGCCTCACAGAAAACTTAGAACTCACCTAATTTTAACATCGCCGTTGCTGGCGAAGGAGTTGATGGTAAGTTTCATTTGGGAGCGATAATAATTAGTCTCTATCGTTTCAACCACGTGTCTTCGTGTGGAGGAGCATACCTCTCTTGAAGGTCAGTTCTTCCGTGCTAGGGACAAACACCCTTCAAACGTTGCCATATTTCTATCGATAGAAGCCGAATTTCTGGGGAGATCCTAAATATTTTTCTTCCAATCTGCCAGAAAATTTTGCTAGCGATTTAACTTTAAATATTTGAAAATCTCATGGGAAAATATGCATAACTTCCCTGAACAATAGATATTTCGTTACGAGAGATTTGGAAATGGTTGATTCCTCAGATACGGCGTTCCTCTTTAACACGGCAGTGTAGTATGCACGAAAGGGAGATAGAAGAAAAGAGAGACAAGAGAAGGAGAGAAAAAGACATATCCAAATTAATAAGGAGCGTCGAATCATATGCGGAGGAAACGAGTCAAAATTTTGGCAATCGGATGTAGTTATGTATTTATGCTAAAAGGAGCTATGTTACACGCAAATCCTATGCACATAGTTCCTTTTAGCGTAAATACGTTCAATTGAACTCCACGCCTTATCGACGCACAGTGAATTGCGTCAATCAGAGAGGTCGGACATGAAATTTTTTCCTAGAACTGCAAATTTTAATGTGTATGTCGTCACATTTTAAATTCTCAAAGGTGCTTCAAGAAGAAATTTTTACGAGGAAACCAATGGAACCACTTTCAGAACCTCAAAGTTTTGTATAAACGGAGTTATAAGCGTTTAAAGTTTTCACATTTTGTCCGACCTTTCCTATTTACTCGATCCACTGTGCGACGCGTCGAAGTAAACATAAGGTGCAGCACCTCTCGCCGCGCCATTGAGCTGTGCCATTGATTGAGATAACTCGGTACAAATCGTAGTAGACTAGTTGTGGCAGCTAGACGCTCGCTCATTTCCCAAGATATTGAACTTTTTGGGCAGGCTCAAAAATGCCAAATTAGTTAATTAGTGCAGTCCTCGAACCACCTTTTATCATACTCGTGAGCAAAATTTCAGCTAGAATTTCGGGAGATACTTGGGCCATCGCCTTGTCTCAGATTATATTTACCATGCCAATCCTCATGACTCATTGTGACTCAGTGTAAATGTTTTCATTCACTGCATGCCGTTCATGTTCATTCCCAGATTTCTAAGACTTATCAGTCAACATTAGCTACACACACAGCTACACACATTAGCTTGAGGGTTCTTCGCGACCCTTGTTTTTACATCTACCAGGTTGCCTGGTTTTTTTTTAGACGGATTCATCTTCTACCTTATAAACTCCATAGAATGTTTAAAATGTTGCTGTTTCTTTTTTATCCCCAATACAAGGATCTTGAGCCGCTTGTCGATCGCACCTAAGATAGGCAAAATGGGAGTATGCTTTACCCCTCATTTCGGCACGTAGGTTTTCATAATGGTTAGTTGCGTTAGCACCGTTCCAATCGTAGCAGGAAGTTTGAAACACAATTCCAATTCTGTGATAGCCAATTATTTTTGATCTATTTGCCTCCGCGCATCATCCGAGAGGGTGATCGGACCAATAAAAATTAAACACGACCAAAACGGCATTCGTTTTTTCAAACTTTCAGGTTCTTTCTCATTTAAAACAATTTAAAAAAAAAAATAAGCACACAAAAAGGTGGAAAATTTCCGCGATCCTTCGATCCCAAGATTGCAGGCTCTCAATGTGAACATTAATATACAACGAGGATATTCTAACCCTACATTAACTCCTAACCGTGGTAATAACGACTTTTATAAATAAATTCAGCCTTTCCGCTCATGGAGGAAAGAATAATTTACTAGAGTTAAGTTGCACGTCAAACGTCACAGTCTCACAATCAGTGATATGAAAATATGGCAACATCAATCATGACGTTAAGTTCAAGCTGTACACACTTTGAATTCAGTTCCCGTTACCAATGGACAATGAAAACGTTAATAGCTTAGCTAGAAGTTGATTTCTGTAATTTTCGTTGCGCGAATCGTGTTTTGCATGAGATTTTGTTGAAGAATCATGTATCAGAAAGCTTCAATTCCTGACTTGTTTAATGGTCCATTCAATCTAAAAAAAACGAGCACAGAAAACTTGTCTAACTTTTATCAGAAACAATGTTTTATCGGGAGAAACGAGTGTTAACGCGAGCAGCCACGCTATCAGATAATCAGCGGTCATCCGCGCGGCAACCGATAGAGAGCGCTATCAACCGCGTCAAATTACGATCGCCGATAATTTGCGTGATTTGATTTTAACGGCACCTCCGAGATCCTCTCATCTAAGGATATATTTTATCATCAACTCTGAAAGGTGACAAGGTAAGAAGTCCATATTCTTGCTACATTCTTCGGAGTCTCAATGCGCTGTATGCCGTTCGCAGCAAGGATTCGCTACACGTGGTAATTCGTAGCATGGACATTATACACTGCATGCTCATTCGCAGTCTGAAACCTTTCGCTGTATGCAATTCCGCAGCATGACCCTCTTTACTAGTTTTTCATTAAGAAAATTTTAATTTATTCTCCTATATTTACAGCTTCTTAAGCCATTTCCTTTCCTTTTCCCTTTTTTTTACATTATTCCCGTTGTACTTAGCGATGTGCTAGTACAACGGCGTGCCTCTAGAACGCCACTAGGGATGTCTCATTTCTCATTTTCTTATTATATAAAAAAAAGTCAGTAGATATTAAACAACGAGGCAACGCTGGACTGCTCACAAGGCGTCGAAACACAACATGGGCCTGTCCTTTTAAGCCCCATTTTTCGATGCTGCGATTATCCTAACGCGAGTTCGAATAATCGCGCCGAATACGGTGCAGTCGGTGTCAAACTCATATCAGCGCCTGCAAGACTATGGGAATACTTCACGCATTGCGCCAAAGAGTGCGGTCGGCGTCAAACGTAAATCAGCGCCTACAAGACTGCATGAATACTACTCGCATTGCACCAAAGGCAATGCGAGAGTTATTTGCGATAATTACTCGACCACGGGTATAGGCACATTGCCGCTAACTGGATCGAAGGCGCATTACATTGTGAAGATGACTCGACACTCGAACTGTACTCCTTTCCCTAGCTTGCGCGACGCTAAAAGCGCCGTAAAACTAGGACCACGCGTCATTTCTTTTGACGGTCCCTGCCCGGTTTTTGCCACAATTAAAGGGTAAATAAGTATCTTAGTTGCAACGATTCAGCAATTCGGACGATGTTTAAAGATGCAGCTATTCTGAAACTTGATTCGCGTAACATTAATTTTGGTTTAATAAAAAGAAAACAGAACGAACGGAAATATCGCGTCAAAATTTTTTTGTGATTTTATTTCAAATCATTCCGGGAATTTCTCGGGAAGTTCTACAAAAACTGTGCATAGCTGTGTATAGCTTTGAAAAAAAAAAAAAAAAAAAAAAAAAAAAAAAAGATTAAAAATATAAAAATAAGTAGAGATTTGCAAAGTTGCAATGGGAAATACACTTTTTTCAGCGTATAGGCGTCGATTTTTTATTTCATTTACGGCAGGAGTAACGAGATAACTATTCGACCATTGGTGTAGGCATATTGCCGCTAGCCGAATGGAAGGCGCGTCACACTGCAAAGATGACTCCACCGCGTTCCCTTCCTTGGCTTGCGTGACGCTAAAGTCACCGTTAAACTAGGATTACGTGTCATCATTCTTGCCTCTCTGCTCTGGTTTTTACCATAATTAAAGGGAATTTATATGTCCTCAATTCCTCATTGTAACGATTCAGGAACTCGGAGAATATTTAATTTTTTGGTTTTGTTACATACACGCCCATTCTCAACTGGAACAGAAGCTAAAAAATGTAAAAAGTTTTAAATTTTTACATTTTTTAGCTTCTATTTCAGTTGAGAATGGGCACGTAATTGGCCTGAAACGTCCTGGTTGTTTTATGTCTCCTCTAATTTGTTTTTTGAATTTTAGTGTGTTTTTATTGCAGTTGTCATATCGTTTATCATACACTCGTCCAAAATACATACATATTACTTATTTTTAATTTTTATACAATGTTCATTAAATATTTCATTTTTTAATTTCAATTATTTATTTTGATTACTTTTCTTTCTCGAAAAATAAGACATAACCGAAAAATCCGACACGTCGCAAAGCAGGGCTGCGTTTTTCGACTTCAGCAATCGATATGACAATTCGACGATGACTTATCTCCTCGAAAATATTCAGTATCCACCTCGACTAGACTACCAGACCACTCAGAGATTATTCGCGCGACACCTCTCTGTGGATGATTCACGGTGACTCAGCCGCAAAGCCACTCCACTCTAGTTGAAATACGTTCCCGAATCTTTCGAAATTATCAGTCTTTAGTCTGCTGAGCTTTATTCAAACGGTCTTTCCCGGGTCCCAGTTTTGTTGACGGACTCATAGTTTTTCGGAAATTTCTAAAATTTTTAGTTATGTACAAAATAGTGTTATTATTCGTCTTGTGCACGACGGTTTTGGGTCTCCACGTGGATCGCACCCTCGAGCCGGGGACCCACGGCCGTGACGTCGTGGAGACGGTTGTGTACCGGATACACCGAAGTCGTGTCTTCCCCGACGACAGAGATTTTTTGCGCCGCGTGGCCTACACCGAGAGTAGGTTCGGCGACGATCCGCAAACATACCGCAGCGGATACCACGGAGGTGTCTGGCAATTCGATCGACTCAAGAAGACGAAATACGACGACGCCAATGACGCCACAAGCCCGTACCTCAGAAGTATCCATGCATCGATCAAGGATAAGATGGGCATCGATTGGATGCAGGTAACAACGCCAAATGAAGAGAGGGTTTTAATAAGGGCAGTTTTTTGGCCCATCCTGGATATCTTCAAACCTACGATCATTTGCTCATTGAATGTGTGTATCTTATTTTTTTACGAGTGCATCATTATTTGATTATTTTCGAACTATTTTCGGGTCTCATACTGATCCAAACATGAACGTGAAGGCTGATTTTGACGAAAAATGCAAGTATTGCGGGCTTGCGGTTGAATGTCGAAAAATTCGCATTTTTCACCAAAATCGGCCCTATCAGACCAAAAGGCCAATATTAGACTCGAAAAGAGACATGACTAAAATTAGTCATGACTAAATCATGATATACTTCTAAAATATAGATCTTCAATATGTAAAAAATCGTTGAGTTGAGGAAATTCAGCTCTTATGGGCCCAAAAGCGACCTCTATCGATACCCTTCCTTTATAATAAGTTCTGAATTATATTTTAAGGAATCCTACAACAGTATTCGGTAAAAAAAAAATTAAGGGAATCCTGCATTGGTTGGTGAAATTTCTTTCACCAAAAGAAAAATAAAAAGTGTGAAGAAATTACTGATCAAAATAGCGGCACTCGTGCAGGAATGGGCATCGCCAATGTAAATCGAACACGAAATAATGGACATAATCGCCTGTAACAGGTTTCCTTGGAAACGATTGCCTTGAAAATAGAGGGCAAGATACTATGTAATTAGGCATATAATGCAAAAAGGAACTATGCATGCAAACTGTATGCACATAGTTCCTTTAAGCAAAAATACGTTCAATTACGAGTTAAATTCCAGGCATGAATATTGAATTCATATCAAGGTCTTGAAAAAGATAGAAATATGTACGTCACTGGCTCACACCACAACCATCACACACCACACACTAGTCACATACCACAACGACAGTACGTCAAAATTTTTGCGCAGGTATACATTTTGTATTTATAAAAAAAAAAAAAAAAAAAAAAAAAAAAAAAAAAAAGAGAGGGAGAGAGAGAGAGAGGAGAGAGGGAGAGAGAGAGGGAGAGAGAGAGAGAGAGAACATTGAGGCTCGAAAACTCTATCAGAGCAAATTTCTGGCTATAATTTTGATTTAATTCCCCTCGTCAGAAAAAATGTGTGCGGTAATTTTGACAAGTTGCAATACGATATGCGATACGATACGTGGTATTGAAGTAAAGCCAATGACTGCTAAACATAGAATTGTAAAATTTCTTATAAGCTTCGGCAAGTTGAATCCTTAGCTTGATAGGGATCAGGAATTTCCTTGTTGTTTCAGGATCTCTCAATTATCTCGCAAAGACAAAATTAAGAGACGTAATCGAGCAAATAGGATTTTAAGTTTCAAAAAATACAAATTTGATTTTGAAATGTCTCCTTAAAATGGTTATTTTGTGCGAGAAACGCTTTTCAAGAAAATTTCAAACATCACAACTTAATAGCATTTTGCAATTACAGAAATATTGAAAGAAAAAGAAAATGCTCGCATGAAATTGTAAGATTCTTATATCATTCGGTAGGTCAACAATTCGGTTTATAATGTTCGGATGCTTACACGAAAACAAGCTATTTGCGGTGCAAAGAAAAATTGCAACTTATCTCAATGTTATTGCAATAAATTTCTATAAGAGGAGCGAGCCCCTTCAATTAGTAGGTCGGCAAAATATATAACACTCCGATGCACCAGCAATTATTTTACTTTATAGTCGCAGTTTATCGCAACCTGTGCCGCTCAGAAAAATTAACAAAACATTCTATCGAAACAGTTTTGATTGCAATCGTTTTCTCATTTTCTACGTTCTCTCTAAAATGTTCTCATACACGATGTCCTCACAGGTGAAGGAGGAAGACTTGCTGAAGCCGCTCTACTCTGGCCTCGCCGCTCGCATCGACATCGACCTGACGTGCCGATCTCGTGGTCAGATACCTGACGATATCAAAGGCCAGGACAAATTCTGGAAGGATTGGTACCACACGCAGCAAGGCAAGTACGGAGATTTCGAGATGCGAGCGAAGGAACTGCTCGAGAGGGACATGAGCACAGCCGGTGGGAAGATAGACTTGATGTTGGTCGTTGACGGCAGCGCTAGTATAACCAAACCCAAATTCCAGTCAGCCCTCGATTCATTAGCACGCCTGGTCAACGTCTTCGACCTTCAGGAGGCGAACGTCGGTATGGTCACTTACTCGACTACTGTTACCAGCGTCATCTCTCTTCTGCACAATTTGACAATGGAAGGATTGCAGGACGCCATTAACAGCACGAGGTATCCAGGACAGCAAACGAACACTTACGCCGGGATGATGGAAGCTATCAGCCAATTCGGAACACTACCAAATGACCGGAAAGAAAATGGGATTCCACGACTAATGGTTGTCCTCACCGATGGACTTCATAATCAGGGGGATCTGAAACCGGTGGTTGCGGCTAAGCTGGCTGCCATGTCAGGTACTATACATATATATTATAATTGAAAATTTTTGCCGTTCAAGTTACATGTTAGTGTAGCCGATAGACTATCAGGACGGATCTAAATAGAATTGTCTCAACTACATCAGGCAGTGTCTAATTTCTCTTTGAGTTACCTTTATGGCAGAGAACCATGCAAAATGAAAACATACAATTTTAAAAGTATATTCTCCTTAATCTAGAGGAGGTTCATCGACAACTTCAAAGGGCACGTTGTATTCGGGCCTCGTTTTTCAACGTTTCTCCCGTATCTAGGTCTCGATACACGATCAAATTCCCGAATCAATTACTATCAACGTGTCGGGGGTCATCAGTCTTAAAATCATTACTTTGCTTACTTTTAAAATGAAAACTTTTCAGAAATTTCTCGTGCGGCAGGAAATGATGAATGGTGGCACTCTATTCTGATCAAAATTTGTCGGCCCGTCCAATTTAGATTAGAATATAGAGCGGAGCATTGCGAGTTCATGTTTTGCGCCACCGCGCCTTCAGTTTTGCAGATACAAGAAGGACATCCGTCGAGCACCAATAGTTGTATCTCTGCGCCGTCATTAAAGCGCGTCATTTCCCTTGCTCTATTTCTATTCAGTGCTTTTCTCGTAAGCTGGCAACACTGTTTTTGCTCCAATTGGATGTATTGCCGCAATCACACGCTGAATGTGGGAGCTGAATGTGGCTTGAATGTGGAAGTCATCGGCCCGATGCCTGAATTTTGCGCGTGACGCGCAAAATTCAGCAACGATTCTCAGCAACCATCGGACCAATATTGAATTTGTTTGAACTATTCGAGTAGATTTGATACACATCTGGATGAAAATAACTCGAATTTGCTAAATTTCAGCCGTTGGGCGATGACTGTTGACTTCCACATTCAGCTGCTAAATTCAGCGTATGATTGCGGCATTAGTGAAACATTTGAGGCAGCTTGCCTCACCTATATCAATATTGTTAATGTTTAAATGGATGAATACAGTGTTGCCAACTTGCAAAATTGCCACTGCACCTATGTGTATAGGACACGGTCCTCCAAGATCAAACCCCAGTCCTCCAGGTCGAGGGCTGGGGCATCGGGCTAACTCCCCTATACCCGTAAGAAAAAATTATTGCTATGAAAAGCCTTACGTGCTTAACCTTGGTGCGCATACAAAAAAACACGGAAAGAAAAGAAGAAGGGGCTTTTGGATGATATGGAAAGTCCCAATTAATTATGGTTGTCCCCACATTCATTGTGATTGTACCCCAATAAATTAGGTTACTATAACCCAAATGTTGCGGCACTTCCAAAATTCATTGGACATGTCCACATTATCCAACAAATTGCATTAGTACCACAATTTTGGGGAAAACAGCACTATTTTTTTGTGAGCGGGTTCTGCCACAAGTGGGTCAGTTTTGCTGGTCTCGGAAATCTGTTTTGTTGCTTGGTTCTTGTAGTTCAGTTAAAAATAATAATAAGATCTGCCCAAACAGCAACTCTCCGTTCTCAGTAATTACCGACATATCACGCTTTGAAAAATTCGGTTTATGAAGTCATCCACCGCGGTAGTGACACCCTTGGTTTCTTCCACCTTGCTTTCATCAGTGAGGGAAACTCACCTCTGCACTGGTTATACTCAACTTGTAACTCAGGTGAAAGCAAAGTGGAAGCGACCAAGGGTGTCACTCTGCCTCAGTGGATGTCGTCATGGATCGAATTGTTCAAAGCACGATATCTCGTTCAATATGGAACGTAGAAAGTTGCTGTTTGGGTAGATCTTATTATATTTAGCTTATATAAGTCGCAGGCAATTAGTAATCGCCGGCACTTTGCAAGCGGCTCACATGTTGTCTCAATCGCAATATTGCGCATCGGCATGATGCAATTTTTAAGGGTTATGGTTGTTAAAATTATGAGCTCGGCTTGAAGCGCCTTCATTTTTCTTGATACTCAACGCTTCGTCACGATGTTAGTTTAGTTGCCCGTCTAATCTCAACCCGAACCCGACTAATGTCACGGAGTTCACTGCACGCTCTCCCAAGTGTGTATATTTCTGCCATGTTTTTATGGATGGAAAAGTGTCTATTCACATCACATGCAACATAATCAGCACACTAATCATGTTCCTTTATTTTTTAATTACATGATTTTCTATATTTACTCACATTTGCCTTGCAAATTGACGGCGATTGCTAATTGCCTGCGATGTTTACAAGAATCAAGCGTTAAAACACAATTCTGTGACCAGTGCAACTGATCCATTTGGAACATTCTTGTAATATCCCCATATGATCTGTTTCAGGAATTACAACCTGCGCCTTCGGGATAGGCGATTCGATCAAAGTCAGCGAGCTTCGCGACATCGCGAACGAGGACCCGGACTACATCTACACGGTGCAGGATTACGACACGCTGAGGGAGCAGATCGCCCGGATGGCGCGGCGGGCCAAGACGGTGCCGCAGACGCCCAAAATGGGCTCCGAGACGAGCGAGACGATGAAGCAGGTCGGCGAGAAGAGGTACTACCGATTCGTCGTACCGGAGAACGGGACGACCATCATATTGATCAACGAGAGGGGCGAGATCCGGGGATACTGGACTTACACCTCCGTCGAACAGCCGTCCAGCGCCTTCTACGACGGGGTCATAAACGCCGGCGAGACGTTCATCCCGCCCCCTCCGGCACGACAGGTGCGACAACGACGGGACGTGAGCCAGGATGCACCCACGAATGACGTCATGATCGCACTGGAGAGTTTCAAAGTCGATAGTAAGGCCAACGTGAAGATCGTCCAAGGAGATGCCAGGAAATCCGCCGCCACTAAAATTGACGTCACGTGCTTCATGCTCGTCGCGGCTTTTAGTTTCGCGGTCCTAGCGATTCACTGATTAGACAGTAACGTTTTCGTACTATACTTGGACGTATTTCTGCTAAACGGAACTATGCGCCATAGGGGGAGGAAGGTAGAGGGGGGCTTGGATTGGCGTCGGGCTCATTCCGTCCTATACTTGCAATGCTTTTCCGTGGCGCTTAGTTCCGTTTGACAGAACGCGCTATCCGGCATTCTAAATTTCTCTAGAGGAACTCAAATTGGCGCTTAGTTCCGTTTAACAGAAATACGTCCACTTGACAATCGATTTTGGATTATTCAAATTTAAACAAATAAGTATTAACTCAAGTCCGTGTATGTAGAATTGGACTGAATTTTGCAATTTGGAATTAAAATATCTGGCTTCTTTCAGGAACGATATATATGCTATTTGTTCCCCTATTCATATAAGTGTTTTTATCAGATGAGAATTTTTTTTTTTTTCAGAAATTGCAGTTCCGAATTGCAAAACGCAGTCCGATTCGGAAACAGGGAGGGATCCTCCACTAACTTCCTGGCGACAGGTGGAAAATTTTACTTTTGGGCATTCAAAATTTCCAAGGCAATAATGATCTACATTCTCGTTGGCTGATGAGTTTCGGATTGAAGCAATATAAACCACTTTTATCAGAAAACCGATTTTGTGCCGTTCCTCAGATGAGCTAAAAAGTCGGTTCCATCGTGCGTAATTCTGTCGCATCGTCAATAAATTAATAAATCCAACAAATCGATTTTGCGTGATTCCAATATTAAATAAACAATGAAGTAATATATTTCAAATCCTTGAGTATATATGTAGAACTCACAGACGAGAAGAGCTTTCCACTGACCTCTCGGCGACAGGTGGAAAATACTCTCAAGCATTCAAAATTTTCAAAGCAATGATCATTTAATTTTTTTCAGCTAATAGGTTTCAAATTGATACAAAAATGCGCCGACAAATTTAGAAAACATCAGCTTATTTGCTGAAAGAATGGCCCGAAACGTCGCTTAACGGCCAGTAATGCGGTGGGTGAACAGTCAGCATGTTTAAGTCCCCATAGACCGAAAACTTCTATCTTTTTTGAGATACAAGTGGAGAGCTTCTTTTCGACTCTAGGTAGGGTTTCTTGTGTTACTGCATCACGATTTTGTCATAAATAAATCCTAAATCATGAATGAATCATCGAACAAGGGTTTCAATCGCAAGAAATACTTCCAATCTCCTCGTCGCTTTGGTATGAATATGACAAGTTAGGAATGTGTGATGGTGTGTATTTTTACGTCGGAAACGATATACATCGAATGACGTCAGCGGCGTGGCGTGTTTTTCGATAGATCGATAGTTATGCCTTTTAAACCTATGGAAAAGGATCGATATACAGGGTGTTCGCTGCGATCACTTTAATAATCGATTCTTGACCATAGGTTTAAATGGCATAACAATCGATACATCAAAATTCACACCACGTCACTGAATGACGTGGCCACTAAATCATTCTATTGCTGACATGCATGACTGAGTTCATGATTTAGTATGTAATACACGAAACCGGGAAAATATCTCTCCAGATAGTTAATGTAATGTTAGTATTCGGTAAACATTTATACTCTTTTTAAAGAATACTTGATTCGCAATAGAATTGTGGTGTCGTATTTGTTAAGCACTGAACATAATAATGTAACAATGGTAGTATCATGTGTTCAAAACATGACTTACAGTCATGAATAATCATGCTTTTGAATCAGCATTCATACCTCGATAAAAATATATAACTGAAACTAGCGATATATGTTTTTGCACATAGAATGAGCTACTTTCATATGTTATGCAGGGGTTAATATAGTTCCTACCGAACTAGACGTAACTCGAGAAAACGCATGAGTTTCTCTTTTTTTTATTTTTATTTATATCTTTATTTTTATTTTTTTTTTTAGCAAGCTGTGGCTAAATTACTTTAATGTGAAACACTGATAAGAAAAAGAACTATATGTTAATGTTTCCTACGCCAAATAACTTTGTTTTGAATAAAGACATGTACCTTTTAAAACTCGCGGTGCTTTTATACAGTATTATTTAGATAAGTTGTTTAAGGTTTCTTGCAGATTGTAGAGTATACCTATCTTTGAAGTTTGCACACTTGTAAATACTACAATTTCTAAGATTTTTTTTGCAATTATAAATAATTATTTATTACCTAAAGTAGCCTTAATTTTTTGAAACTTTAAGACCGTCACATACGTACGTTTATACGTGCAATCATATATACGTATATATGCACGTATATACGCACGAAAATCGTTCTCTACATTTTGCTTGCGGAGTAAAATCAGTATATTTTAAAAATAGAGTTTAAGATGATTTTCAAATGGGATAAGTTTTCCCATTCAAATAAAAAACGTCGTGTACCCAAATCAAATTATGCATTTTAATTTAGACAAAATGCTCTATCACTAGAAAATCTGATTTTTTTCATGCTTCACTTTTCTAGTATGAATTTTCATGACACTGTTATTTTGAAAACACTCATTGTTACTGTTCGCTAGATATCTTGCAAACAAGAAGAATTTAATGATATGCGGAAGAATATTGCAATGTCACGTAATGGTATGCGATATCAGAAAAGGAACTAAACTAATAAGAAGGATTTGCAATATATTATGGTTTTTTTCTGGAAAGTTCATCCCCTTCATATACTTGCGCATTTTTAGGGTATCTATATTATGCTGGTGTTCCGGTGAATTCGCATGTTGCCTATCCTCTCAATTCAAGGCGCGACAAGTATCCATAATGATCACAGTGGCACAATGAGGTCTATTTACCACTACTGGGTGAAAATCATCACAATTTCGCGGCAACACGGTTTCAGTCAACGGAAACTTTATTGCAATTTTCTTTAAAAAAATGTTCATTTTTGTAGAGGAGCATTTTCCAAGAGAAAAAAATCTAACTTTGTCGGGCCAAATTTTGTTGGTTGTATGAAATTGTAAATAAAAATAATTATACACGAATCTGGACAGTTTTTCACATCTAATACATTCTATCTCTGATTAACTGAATCAGAAACGTGAAATCAGGGAACCAGATCTCAAGTCTAGCGCAAACCCGTTTTTCCTGACTAAGTTTGACCCCCGGAGTGAATGTACCTATGAGGGGTTTGGAGGAGAAGACGCAAAGGCATAAGTGCAGTTTTTGCTATTTCGAGAAATACGTGTTTGAATTTTCGAAATTACATGAAGCCTTAAGGCGGAAAGAAAGTTTAAACAGACTTTTTTATGCTTAAAAATTGGAATTTTTGAGCCAATTTTTTACAATGTATGCACTAAGACTAGTTTCACTTGAAATCATCAATAGCTCAATTTTTCAAAAACTGCACTAATGCGTTTTTTCCTCCAAGCCTCTCCTATATTATTTGCTTTAGACAACAGTCTTTGTGCCTACATAATACGAGAAAATGAATACGGGCATTCCGGCAAAATAAGAGTATATAGATTTGTAGAGAATCTATAGCAGCAGGTAGCAGGTTGAGTACAAAATCCGTAAAAAAAAGGGCACCTTAAGATAACGCTGGTTCCCCTTCGTTCATTTTATTTACCATAGGTAAATTTAACCATAGGATGACTTAAGAGAGGCTGCCAAAAATGATGCTTGATTGGGTTCCTCCTGGGAGGAGACGTAGGGGACGCCCAGTGAGAGGTTGGCGACAGGGGGTGTTGAGTGAGATGAGGGAGTGTCAACTCCCTAATGACCTGTGGGAAGACCGAGCTTTGTGGCGATTAGGCGTCGTAAAGCGCCAAAGAGCGCTGTAAAAGCGACTCTTATGTATGTATGTAAATTTAAGCGCCAGCAGGGCCGGATTAAGGGGGTGGCCAGCCCGCCACATGGGCCGTGGCACATGGCGGCAAATTTAGAGGGCGGCAAATTTTGCATTTTTTTTAAATGTAGGTATAAAGAAATATCGGATTTAGAAAAAAAATTACAAACGAGAAAAGGCGACAAAGTCTCTTATTTCCTGAGAGTATAGTAATTTTTAATTTTGTCTTCTTTCAGTGATAGAAGAGACAGCACCTTTAATTAGTCGAGTTAAGATAGAAACCAAACACGCAATTTGGCCTGGGCGGCGCGGCGCAGAGAGCAATGATCACGAGGACTTGAGATGAAAAGGAGAAGCCATCGGCGCGACGATTGGCATCTAACACATATCAGCGCCTACAAGACTGGACGAATACTTCACGCATTGCATCAAACACAGTGCGCTCATTGCGGTCAGCGTGAAACCGATAGCGCCTACAAGACTGCGTGAATACTGCACGCATTGCGCCAAACACGGTGCGGTCTGCGCGGCGCGGCGGCGGAAGTTAAAATCATTAAACCACATTCATGTTTGTTCTTTCATAATTTTTTCATTTATTTCTTATGAATGGAAGGCCTTGTCCTTGTTAGAAAATCAATGGTGCTTATGTCGTTCCTGATGAGCTGAAAAAGTTGGTTCCATTGTGCGTGATTTCGTCGTATCATCAATAAAATCAATGAACGCACAGTTACAATGCTACTGAGTTTGTCAATGTTTTTATCGTTTAATTGTCCTTGAATGACGGCTGTCGAAAAAACACTCGAAAACCTGAGCTTCTTAGGGTTTAATCAGGCATGATTTGAAACAAATTGAAAGTTGATTGCAATTTCTCGTGGTGAAGCACTTTCAACAAAAGAAAATCCTTAATTCTACAGGAAAATGTTTACTAAAACTCACAACTAAACCGAGACCAATCAATGATATATCATTGGAGATCTATAGATCTCCAATTAAGCGAGTTCGATTAACCCTTCATAACAATATATGTTATCGCAAATACGGTGTATTCAATCGCGCGTGTGTACATTATATTCATGACCTCTCAACAGCACACAGATTCCTATTAAATTCACACGAATCTGAGAAATACACTCATGGCGCAATGTGGATCAAGTCAATCAGAGAGGTCGGACATGAAATTTTGGACTAAAACTGCATTTGATGTTCATTTCGCCACATTTTAACTTTTAAAGGGTGCTTTAGATAGAAACTTTCACGAGGAAACCAATATAACCGTTTTTAGAACCTCAAACTTTTGTATAAACGGAGTTATAAGCTTTTAAAGTTTCCGAATTTTGTCCGACCTCTCGTATTGACTCGACACACCGTGCGGCGCGGTGTCCCAATGCGAGCGATACTTCACATCTGTGCGTGTGAACTCTCAAGTTTTTCAGACCTATCAGTCAAGTTGCCACCTTCAAGTCCGCGAAGCTCGAGTCGAACGGTTCCCTTCAAACATTTCCACCGCTTCTTGTTTTGTTTTCTTATTTTCTCAGGAGCCTCCTAATATGTACAAAGTTGTGTTGTTTCTTGTTTTATGCCAAATGGTCCGCGGCTATTTTCGCGATCTCACCCTCCAACCGGGGACTCGCGGTCGCGATGTGGTGGAAGCGGTGGTTAATAAGATTCGCCGGTCCCGGGTTTTCCCTGATGACAGGGACTATCTCCGACGTTTGGCCTACTGCGAAAGCAGGTTCGGAGAGGACTCTCTGACCTATCGCAAAGGTTACTTCGGGGGCATCTGGCAATTCGATCGGCTCAAAGAGACGCAATACGATGATCCCCATACGATCATCAGCCCGGAGCTCAGAAGAATCCACGCAGCGATCTTGGACACCATGGGCTTCGACTGGTTACGGGTAAATGAAGCTACATTTAAAACTTAGCCTTACTGTATGCGTTATCAACACCAGTGTTCGAAACTCACAGACGCCAACGCGCCAAATGCGCCTAAGAAATCGGTCATGGCGCCTAAAAAATGATGGCTCTGCGCCAACCTGGCCCCTATAAATTGCCCTTCCCCCCAAAAAATTCCTAATTTTTTTTTGTGAATTTTCAAAATTTCCCCCAAGTTACAGTTACTAGTTCTGTGACTAAAACATCTTGCGTCTAATTTTTCACTAAATGCACCGTGATATATAGGCAAAAAGTCAATCTGGCCCCTAAAAAATCTTTAATGGCCCCTAAAAATCGAGCTTGATGCGCCACATGGCTCCTAAAATTCAAAGGTGAATTTCGAACACTGATCAACACCGACAAAAATATTTGTGTTCTCGTGTTACGATTGGTTATCATTGTGAGTGAAACTCAAACCAACCCAAATTTTGTGTAATCGTCTTTCCCGGATGAAGGAACGTTACTCCATTCCAAGTTTGCAAAATTAACCCGGACAATATAATTTTTTACAAGAATATTTTATCACCTGTGCAGTTTTTATCCCAAATTTCCCTAATTTATGCATTAGATCAGATGAAAAAATCGTGAAATTTTCAGTTAGATATTCCCAGGTTGGTAAAAGTGCACTTCTCGAGGGGTTAGACCCCTGTGTGTAAGGAAAACTTTATTTAAAGTTCCGAACCTCTTTGGAAAGTTCTGTCCCGGTTTGTCTCATCGATCACCAACACCAGTGGACACCGTTGTCACTAGATTCGATCACTCAGATCCGTTGGTTTTCGATAGGTCGAACCTTTTTTGGTACCACTTCGCGAGGCTGCACCAAAATCACTTATACTTCACGCATTGCGTCAAACACAGCACGGTCAACAGCGGTCGGCGCGGCGTAAAATGCACAGTGCCTACAAGATTACATGAATACTTCACGCATTGCGCCAAACACAGTGTGGTCAGAGCGGCACGGCGGCGGAAGTTAAAATTATTAAACTACATTTATGTTTGTTCTTTCTTAATTTTTTAGTTCATTTCTCACGAATGAAAGGCCTTGTCCTTGAGATAGGTTTACGGAGCTGAACTTTCGCGCGAAGTTCCGTGAGCTTTTGCTAGTAGTGTTGACAGGGCTTACGCAAAAAATGTGTCCAACACGAGTGAATGCGTCTTATGCACCCTTCTCCCTCCGGCACGTTCACTTGACGGTTTTTATTCATGTCTCAAAATGAACGAGAAGAGGGCGGCAAAATACAGGCGGCCCATGGGCGGCAAGCAGGTAAATCCGGCCATGCCCAGATCTTTCCAAAATAATCTCTCGCCTAGTTAAATATAGCCTAATTTATTTTATATCTTCACAGGTGAAGGAAGAGGACTTGCTGATGCCGTTCTACTCAGGGCTTGCCGCGTGCATTCACAATGAGCTGACACGCCTGTCTCGAGGTCCGATCCCTTCCGACGTCGAAGGCCAGGATCTATGGTGGCATAATTGGTACAACCCGAGAAAGGGCAGGGTTGGAGATTTCGAGGCGCGGGTACAGGAATTACTCGAAGAAGACTTGCGTGGAACCAGCGGAAAGATAGACATCATGATGGTCGTCGACGGAAGCCAAAATATCGGAAAGACGGCTTTCAAGATAGCGCTGGACTCGGTGGAACGCCTGGCGGGAATATTCGACCTCGACGAGGCTCACGTCGGTATGATCGTCTACTCATTCTATATATCCACCACGATTTCGCTGATGCACAATTTGACCTCGGAGGAACTGAAGAGGGAAATTCGAAATACGGAATATCCGGATGGAGATAGCAAGAACACGTACCTCGGTATGCTGGGAGCTATCCATGCTTTCAAAAGATTACCGGATATTCGGCGAGAAAGCGGGGTGCCAAAACTCATGGTGGTCTTCACCGATGGAGTTCACGTTGTAGGGCCGGATCATGCCGTTGCGGTTGAAATGGCCGCCAAAGCAGGTACCATAATCATGAGAGTACTATTTCTGTTGTAATGTTGTTGGAAAATATTTGTAAAAAACAACTGTGGGAGCGAGCGTGCATAATGGAGATGTTGCATGTGTGAGGAATTTGCAATTTGACTATTGATTCTTATGTAAAAGTTCGCGAGAAACACGATGGTGCCACTGGTTTTCTCTGAAATCAACTCCCAAGCTCAAAAAAAGCTCTCAAGTTGAGGCAAAACTGGAGGGGATATCCCACGCTATCCTGAGAGTCCACCTCTACATCAAGACAAACTCACCATGCAAAGATAGGGAGCAAATACATTAGCAGGGTTGCCGTGTTTTCAGTTTTGGAGTCCCAAAATAAAGTGGCAGCCCTGTCATTGTATTTGCTCCCTATCTTTGAATAGAGAGTTTGTCTTGATGTAGAGGTGGACTCTCAGGATAGCGTGGGATATCCCCGCCATCTTGGCCTCAACTTGAGAGCTTTTTTTGAGCTTGGGAGTTGATTTCAGAGAAAACCAGTGACGCCATCGTGTTTCTCGCGAACTTTTACATAAGAATTAATCGTCAAATCGCGAATACCTCACACATGCAACATCTCCATTCACCTAACGCACTTTTTCGGCAGTGTTAACCGCTATTCCCCTTCGTAAAACTTCGCAAAGCAACCTCGTGACGTAACGCTGGACGGGTCTATCATTAAAATCTCAAAAATTGAGGAGAACTGTTGAATATATGGATAGCTAGATCAAATTTAAAGTATTTGTAATGATAGCGCGACTAATAACGTCGAAGTAATGAGGATAATGCATTTTGGATTTTGTGTGTTTCTTACTAATAGGAGGGCTATGTAACGCTGGCACTAACCCCCTCCCGAGAGCGTTACTCAATTTATGAACGATCCCCTCCAATTTTTAGGTCTAGCTCCCTGCATTCCTCACTTTTCTTATCTGCTCCCTTCTTTCTTTTCAATTATTTTTCGACACTGGAATTTCTTCTTTCTAATGTCACATGACAACAGCTCATGAGGGCCGCATATTTTTGCACGCAGTTCCGATTGCTTTAATGTAAAATCCGGTTTTTCTATTTCCACAAAAGGAATCACGTCCACTTTTACATTGTTCCTTATGCAGCTTTCTAGAGTACACTCCATCGTCTCCATTTTAGCAGAACTGCATCAATATAAGTTTAACGAGTTTTTGATATTATATACATATACGTATAAAGCCGCTCTTACAGCGCTCTGTCACCTAGCCGCCAAAGTTCCCTATCCTCCCAAAGGCCTCCAGGGAGTTGGCACACCCTCAATTCTTCTAAAACTCCTGTCGCCACCCTCTGATATTATTATCTCTCAAATTTTCAGGTATTATAACCTGTTCTTTCGGAATAGGCGATAGTATTGATGACGGCGAGCTCCTGCGAATCGCAAACAATGACACGAATTTCACGTTCAGGCAGGATTATCACGGATCGTCGCAGGAGCAGATAGTTCTGATCGCTCGCCAGGTGAAGACTGTACCGCAAACGCCGAAAATGGGATCGGAAACGATCGAGACGTTGAGGTATGTCGGTGAGAAGAGATACTATCGATTTGGGGTGCCAACGACTGGTACAACCATCACGTTGATCAACGAGGAGGGTGAGACCCGTGGCTACTGGACGTTCACTGCTCATCAACCCTCCAGTGCCGTCCGTGATGGCGTCATAACAGAGGGGGAGACGTTCATCAAACCGCCACTCCTGCTACTTGGCTTCACGTCGAATAGAGATATCGTGATTGTATTCGAAAGTTTTGCGAACAACAGTAGAATGAGGATTTGGATCGACGAGGGAGATACTACTGGAACTGCTGCCACCAACATCGACCTAATGTTATACTTGCGTATTGTTATTTTTTGCTCTAGTACAGCTCTTTTGAAATGAGATAAATAGTTAATTAAAAGATATACCAGGACACGTATATTATGAAGAATTAACAGTATATTTTCCCGGTATACGCGTGTTCTGGTGTATCTTTTGATGAATTATTTAGCTTGTATTATTAAAGCACGCAAGATGCGATTCTCTAGTTATCTTTTGAAATAGATAATGTGAGTGCCCGACGAAAAAAGCTAGAGATCAAAGTTTATTTTCTTTAGATAGAGGCTTCAACCGGCCGTACTATACTTGCTGCTGTCCTTTCATTTGGGTATTTTCAAGGTTTGGAATATCTAATTTCAGTGGCGGGGCGTGAATGATCGATTATCGATATTTCTCATTTGAGGCTAAGGTAAAGAATCGATTATTAAGGCTTTCGTTGCGAAACCGCTGTTTATCGATCCTTTTTCATAGGTTTAAGAGGGAATTCAATCGATATATCGCAAAGCACGTCACGCCACGGTCCAATTTTTCCCGCGCCAAAAGGAGTAGGAGCAAATGTTGTGAACTACACTTTGAAGCCTCAGTCCCACTGGATTCGGGAAACGACCCATCGTCGTATGAGGAGATCAGTGCCGTTTGCGGGTTTAAAATATAAAGAAAGTAGAATTGAATTGGATTACATTTTGCAATAAGGAACCACTATCTTTGGCTCTCCCGTAAAAGCACATATCTGCACAGGGAAACCAATGGCATGTATGTTGTTTTTAAAATGGGCCAAAAATAGTGGTTCCTTATTGCTAAATGTAATCGAATTTATTGACGGTGAAACTGCAAAAATGCGGATCTCGGTTGTACGGTGCTTCAAAATCTCCGCTCTTACTTACTTGAAATTTTCACAGAATATTCTTCAAAGAGGTAAGAAAAATCACCGGAGTTTTCATGAACTGACGTCCATTGGTTTTCCATGTAAAAAATTAAGTATGTTAAGTATAGCGAGAAGTCTGCAATGCCGCAAACCGCAATTTCTGCAGTTTCACCATCGATATGGAGTTTGCACACGTTTCTGCCTCGCCTTCAATTTTTGAGGTAGACCAGAATACATCCTTTGTGCAGCAATAGTTATCTACTCCGAGGATCGTTGTCTACAATATTCTTGTCTCGGAGGCTCGTCTGTCTAACTCCACCAGACAATTTGTATGCTGATTCTATTAGGTTTTTAGGTGATAGTGATTATTGCTTTTTGCTTTGCACTAAGGCCAGTGCAAAAAATACTGGCGTTCGCCCCGACATATGTCAGCTCGCTGCTCATGAAGTTCGAACCTTCGTGAGTAGTAATCTGAGAGCCTTGCATCAATACGGATGTCCCAGTGACTTGACCTGTTCGCAGCACTGACATATTGATTTTATTCGGTGTTGTTCGCTGTGTGAAATGTGCCAAAGGCAGCAATTTTGAAGACCAATGAGACGGAGTTTAATTGCGAGTTTTGGATTGCAAATAATTTGGTTAAATGATGGCCGATTATCCCCTCTCCCTACAGAAACCTTTTTGAGCATCTTTCTTTGACAAGATGATAGCATGTTTTCAGCAGGTGGCTAGGATTTTGTTTCGGAGGTGGGGGCTTGGCCGGGTGAGGGATGTCGCTGCCCCCCCGGGAATAAGGGGGTCCAGGGGTCTCTCGAAAATGTTACAAAAAGCCCCGTTAAAAACTAATGTCTTTCACTGTTTTACAACTACTTTTAAGTGGCAGTGAAGCTGCAGTCTTTCATGATAATTTTAAACATTCTTTAGCAAAAACTCTCGCCGCTGCAATCAAAAGACAGTAGATTCATTAGTTAAAACAACTTATTCCTTGGAAAAAGGAAATATATTGTCTTTTACAGTAATACTTTTCAGCACTTTTCTTCACATGAAAAAAGTTATTATCTTCTTCAATAAAAGTTTTCGATCATACCGGGTGTTCCTTTTTAATACCTACAAAGGATACACATTCATTTTTCGTCCTCTCTAATTTTCTATATCTTCTTTTCTTCCTACTGTTTCCTCCAATTTTTTGCTTTCCACCATAGGCCTCCCATAGCTGCGTGCCTGCATGATTTGATTATTGATTTCAGAGCTTGAAATTTAAATCGTTGTTGAAATGAGGCATGTAAAAGTTACGTTTCCCAAGTATCAGTGATCGCGATAAATAGCGATTTTATCGGTTGGTTATCCCGATTATATCAGCGGCAATATATCGAGATATTATCGCATCAAAAATCGCGATATATGGCGATTAAATCGCTACAAATCGCAATTTTTGGTTCGATAAAATCGTGATCAATTTTTGTCGATAAAATCGAGGTTAAATCACCATATATCGCGATTTTTATTTCAAAAATATCACGATAAGCTGTCGGGCAATGAAGGCGCGATTTTATCGCGATTAGACCGAGGATGATCGCTCAGATGTTGATGATCCTGGCGATTTTATCGCCGATAAAATCGCAATATATAGCGATTTGTCCATTGAGAAATGCTGCTTGGGTTGATTGGGAACTTAAGTTGGACTGTCCGATAGACTTCATGATCAATGAGGATGATAAAATATTATTTATCATCAGAGCCGGAATTTCATTGTATGAGTCTCTCGGTTTTTGACTTTTAAATTATACATCTCACTTTTTCGGCCATTTTTTTTTTCATACGAAAATGTTAATAAGCCTCAGAAATGACTCATCGGAGACAAAGAATCGAAAATATTCACTATAGATTTTTGAGAAATACTTCACTTAAAACTGACAATAATTTGATGAGGAGGATGGGGTCCTGATTATTTCGATAGCCCAAAAATGAAGTATATACACACCTATCTTCCTATTTGAAGTACCTCGATATTATTTTCAATTGTTTGTTTATTTTTCATTTTTATTTTTTTTTTACATTACTCAATGACTTTGTTGACTCTTCACATCTATTTTTCGAAGCATTTTCTAAGATTGTAGGCAGACCGGTTAGAGCTTAGAGAATTAATTTCATTTTGCAAAGTAACTATAGGTTATTCTTAAAGACAAAAATAATTCATGTGTTTTGTAGATTGGCTGTAATGCGCTGACTTTTACTTTGTAAGCTCAAACGTTGACATGGATGTGATACATTGAAGAAACCTACGGCATTGATACTTCTTTCGGAGGGAAATCACGAGATTTTATTTTTAAATGTATCATCAATTGTACAGCTCGTTGCTCTTTTTGATGCATTTTAGATGTTATATTAATGACATATTAGTGTTATTTTGTTTTCTTTCATTTCATATGAAATAAGTTTCAAAGATTTTCATTCGCATTTTCAGCATAAAATGAAAAAAAATCATAAATAAATAAAAACTTTCATACACTATGCACGAGCCAATACCTATAATTTTGAACCTCATCACTACCTCAGACGTGGAAAAATTGCAGTTCGCTCATTTATAAATCTTTTGAAAATATCGCGAAGTTTTACAAAGAAATCAGTGGTTGAATAAAAAATCCCGAACCCCGTACCTTGCTTAAAAAATCGCTCATTCCCGATCGGAAAAGAGAAACGGAGTTTTTGTTTTGGTTCGGTGGGCCGGTGAACAAGGCTCCAAAGAAGTTATCTGCAGAGCAGGTATAGCATCTCAAAATTCGAGTATCCTGAGTACTCGCTTTTCTAACAAGACCGCCGAACCACTTATAAATGGACGTATTTCTACTAAACGGAACTATGTGCATTAAGACATGAGCCCTGAGACCCATAAGAGTATGTGCTTAACAGGGCTCACGTCATAATGCACATAGTTCCGTTCGATAGAAATACGTCCAAATTATTATTTACACTAAACCACTCTTCGAAACAGCCCGCGATTACCCCATCCGAAAGCCACTCAACTCACGCGAAATTAAGTTTCCGAAATCCTCAAGATCATCAGTCGACAGTTCGCCGAACTTGAGTCGAGCGGTCCTCCTCTCGATTCGTCGGTTTCCCGGAAGCTTCGCGAAATAAAAAATTATTCAGAACTAAAAATCAAAATTTCAATTTTAGTTTTCGAATCTCTGGAGACAACCAGTCAACAGTCTACCGAAATTGAGTCGAGCGGTTTCGGCAGCTGGACTTTCGACTTTCCTCTCATTTTCCGGTTTCCCGGAAAATTTTGAGATATGTACAAGACCGTGTTGTTCTCCTTCCTGTGCGCGACGGGTCTCGGGCAACTGGTCGATCGGACCCTCGAACCGCGGGCCAATGGTCGCGACGTCGTGGAAACGGTCATCAATCGGATTCGTCGAAGTCGTCTTTTCCAGGACGACAAGGAATTTCTTCGCCGCCTGGCCTACGCCGAGACCAACTTTGGTGAAGATCCGAAGACCTATCGCGATGCCGCCGTTAACGGTGGCATCTGGAAATGTGTCCAGTTAAATCTTACCCAATATAACACATCGAATTTGGATCTCACCACGCGGCTCTTGGGTATCCATGAAGGAATCAAGCGCACCATGGGAATCGACTGGATAAAGGTAAACTAACATGCGACAAGTGTATAGAGTCTCTAAGCGTGCAGTCCACGCGGGTTGATTGGTGAAATTGATAGACAAAGCTATAGACAAAGAAGACAAAAAGAATTCGGAGGTATCCTATTGATGGAAGTGGGTGGTCGCAATGGACATAGAACGTAGGTAATAGAGTAAGTAACGGCAACCCACGAGAGACCGACGATAAGTCGATCATTCTACCCCGTTGGTCTATAGGAACCATCCATTTCAACCAATAGGATCGCTCCATACTCCTGCTGTCTTCTTTGTCTATCAATTTCAACAATCAGCCCGCTGCACCGTGGAGATAGATTTTAAGTTATACTACTGCGTTGTGCTATAATAAAATACCGCGAGGGTGGAGAGGACAGGCGGAATTAGAGAAGAGACCAACCCTGGATAGGACCAGTGATCAGAACCAGCGATCTCCATGTTTTATTTTATTTGAAATGTTGGGTAGTTTTAAAGTACCAACTCATATCGCATGATAAAGGTGCAATTCATTCAATCGCAACGTTGTTGGAATTTTTACTGAAGTCGGCATTTAAAGAGGGCTTGGTAAAAATGAAACATTTACCAAAAACGACAAACGGGTAGTTGCGCATGCGCAATCACCTCCTTTATGTCAGCTCTTAGGAAATTTTTCCTCTTTGAAAATATTACCAAAATTGTACCTAGACTTCGGAGAACTATAAAGAGTATTCATTTTAAGAACTTAGAACGAGGCATTTTATCAAATTGCCCAGGCAAATGGTCAAATTTTGACGGATTACGAAATTTTGTAAATTAATGGCGAAGAACCCAAGAATTTTCAATATTTTAGGAACCACGACTCATCAAATATACAATTTTTTTTCTTCCTCTACAAATGCTTTCCATATATTTTAATGTTAAAAGTTTAAAACTTCTGTATTTTGTGACATGCCGAGGATTTCAAGATAAATGTTCGTTCAGGAGCTAAAAATCGTTCAAAATACTTTTGTATGCTGTACATTTTTACAGAGCAATCATTTTTTTAGGCGCAATTAATTTTTTATCTGTAATTAGGAGAGTAATCTGAAAATTTTTTTGCAAGTCAGAATATTTGACTATTTGCCCAGGTATTTGACAAAATGCCTGATTGTACCTGTACAATTTTAGTTAAAACCGAAGCAGAGGTATATCATTGTTAATAATAAAAATGAGTTATTTTCTAACTAAAATGCCAGATTACACTCATCCACATTCCATTGGATCTATTCCACATTCAAAGGTTGAGTATTTTTCTCGAGAACTAATAGATTTACTCTTGATTGTAACATAAATAAATAATATTAATTAAACCCACTAATACTATAGGAATTATTGTGTATAATATCGTTAAAACTTCTGTATTTTATGACATGCTGAAGATTTCAAGATAAATGTTCGTTCAGGAGCTAAAAATCGTTCAAAATACTTTTGTATGCTGTTTTGACATTCGGCAGGTGGAGGACGGTCTAACGCCACTCTACTCTGGACTCAGCGCGAGTATCCTCATTGATGTGACACGAACATATAAAAGCCCGCTCCCTGGGAGCATCGACGACCAAGACTCCTGGTTGGTCAACTCTTTCAGCTTGCATAAACGGACGGAAGGCGGCTTCGCTCGACGGGCACGCGAACTTCTCGAGGAAGACTTGCGTAGCACCGGAGGGAGGATCGACGTCATGTTGGTTCTTGACGGAAGCTCAACCGTCGGCGAAGAGTCTTTTTCCGCGGCGCTCGACTCTTTGGCCCGGCTGGTCAACATCTTCGACCTCGAGGAGGCCAACGTCGGCATGGTCACCTTCTCCGACAGCGTCACCGAACTGATCCCCCTCATGAACGATTTGACCATGCCAGCACTCCAGAGGGCCATCCGGTTGACGAGATATCCAAAGGGTAGAACGAAGATTTACGTCGGTATGATGGCAGCAATCGACGAATTCAAAACATCACCGGCCTCCCGGAAAGAGAGCGGGGTTCCGAGGCTCATGGTCGTCTTAACCGATGGAACTGACGGTTCTGGACCCGATCCGGCCCTCGCGGCGAAAAAGGCTGCCAAAGCAGGTAAATCGTCCTTTTTTAGAAGCATACCGAATAAAAGGATGCTGATTTAACATCGTGGATGTTAAGGTGATTCGATGGACGCCATATTTTGTGTCAGAACGACATGCGATATACCGCATCAGTTGGTCCCATTTTTTCTGCTAATCGTCATTTTTCTCGTATTTTGAGATCGCGATTCTGTTGCAAGGAGGCTAGAGAATTCACATATCAATTTTCACGAACAAATTCAACGTATTGAAGGCGTGGTTTTTTCAGAGGAAAAATATCGCATTCGAGTGCAGTTTCGATGTCAGTGTCGAATGCGATATTTTTCCTCCATAAAAAAAACCATGCTTGAATTTGCTTGTGAAAATTAGTAAGTGAATTCTTTAGTCTTTCTTCGTCAGACCGAGCTTTGTGGCGATTAGGTGTCGCAAAGCGCCAAAGAGCGCTATAACAGCGACTCGTATGTATGTATTCTTCAGTCTCCGGGCAACGAAATCGCGATCTCAAAATTCGAGAAAAATGACGAGTAGCTGAAAAAATGGAACCAATCGATGCGATATCTTGCATGGCGTTCTGACACAAAATATGGCGTCCATCAAATCACCTTAAAAAGTGTGCGCTGTCTCACAAAACGCTAAAATTACCGTCATAGCAGTTGGTTTTATATCATGACATTGCTGAAGTAACTGCTCCAGCGGTCAATTCAGCGTTTTGTTAGTTGTCGCACACTTTTTTACACCCAGAATGTTCAATCAGCATCCTTTTTTTTCGGCGCGACGTTTTCGTTTTGATCTTTGTTTGATAAAAGTAGCTTGGAGTATCTGTAGAGACGGAGTATGGATAGGCGTGAAATTCCGAAAATTCACTGGGCCTTCACCGATGCCTCCGCGAATAAAGTTAGGGCTCAAAAGGGCAGCCAACCTGTGTATTCAAACACAACGATTTATTATCACAAATGTCACGGCCCGTCGTTGTGAAGCACGTATTTGACTTGGTTTTTTCATTTAATTCATTTCTATAGAAGAACGCTCATTTATGATCATTCTTTGTCATCTTGGATTGAAACTGGAATCTGAAGATTGGCAGTGATATTGCAGGCAATCATGACGAAATTGACTCACACTGCATATTAGGTGCTTTAAAATTTCAAAAATTTTCGGGAGAGCCCCCCGGACTCTCTTTACACCCCCTCCCGAAGTGTTCGCAGTCTCTGGATCATGGGTCTCCATGTATCGAGTAAGTTGCATTTGTGAGTACGCCTACTTTTCTTCGGCGCGTTAAAGTCTCTGAAGTGATTGCGGACGTACCCGAGTTGGCTCCCAAACGTCCGAATCGGCTCCCGTTTGAAAAAGGGTCCCCTCCCCTAAGGGTCGAGTTGGCTCCCGTTAGAAAAAGGGTCCCCTCCCCTGAGGGTCGAGGTGGCTCCCGTTTGAAATGAGTGGCGTGTGCGACGCGCCGCGCGTAAAGCGGCGGACACTAGGTGCGAAATGCATGAGATAAGTCTGAGAAATTAAGAGTGCTGAGGAGAAATCAGTTATCAGCAGTAACACTCACGCCCAAACAATGATTAGGTATTCGGCACTGGACGTTGTCACTTTGAAAAGCAACTGATTATTTTCAATGGAGAAAAAACTTGGAATTTTTTCGATGGAAAAAAGTATAAAATTAAAAAAAAAAAAAACTTTCCCTTCACACTTAATCCAGGCTTAGGACTGGCCAAAGAGTGTAGCGTACTCAAAGGGCGTGTTTAAAAAGTTTTTTTTTTTAATTTTATTTTGTTTGTTTATATCGTCTCTCTCCGGACAATGGGTATTAAAATGTAGGGAATGGAAATGATTAAAAACAGGTTATTAATTTTCACCTGCTACGGCCAATTAGCAGGACTTGTCATTGGAACATGGCCATGGAGTAGGATACTTATAATCGGGAAGGCAGGAATTTAAAAGAGACTCGTTTCACAAATTCGAACCGTGAGTATTCGTAGGTTTTTAATTTCAACATACAACGCTCAATGTACGACCCTTTTTCTAACGGGAGCCAACTCGACCCTTAGGGGAGGGGACCCCCTTTTTCAAACGGGAGCCAACTCGACCCACCTAAAAATGGACGGGAGCCAACTCGGCAACTTCCGTGATTGCAGCATTTTACCATCTTGGCGATCTCTCGTGTGGTTCAGGATGATCAAATTTGTGAGGTCCGGAACCTTAGGGGTGTCTGACGCTGGCAGAAAACGCTGCAACCGAGTCGAGGGCGATAAGGCGTTCCAGAGGTTGGTGGACGGTACTCATTTAGGAGCGTAAATTGCGGATTTTTTCCGCTGCTCTCCGGTGTCAGATCTCGCAGTTCCGTTGAGTTGTACGTCAATCGAGACGGCAAATATTTCCAAACAATCATAAAAACTGGACAGATTTACCAGAAAGTCAGCCTCAAACCCGTCCATACTGTACCATGCAAATTTTTGATGCGATCTGCACGCTTTTGGCCATTTTTACCCCGAAAAAATATCCCCGATACCCGCAAAAGATTCCGATGGCAACGTGTTTCAGCCCATCCAAGTGCGCATAGAGCGCTCAAAAATTGACGTTGTTCAGGTATTTTGAAGTTCTGCAGCGTAAGTGAAAACTACAATATGAGCGTAATTGAACGTATATTTATGCCAAACGGAACTATGTGCATTAATACATGAGTCCTGAGACCCATAAGAATATAAGCATATCAAGGCTCACGTCATAATGCACATAGTTCTTTTTGGCAGAAATACGTCCCGTTGAAAAGAGAGATTTATTTCTCTTCTGAAAATTCCCTCCTGACAAAATTTCAAAGCGCCATCGAAATCACTAATTAGGTGACCCTCGCCAAAATACAGTTGATGTCAATAAGTATAATTTGGATCAAAACCAACCAACATCTGCTGTGTTTGGACGGATCAATTTTCTCGGAAAGAGTACAGTATAAGCTAAAAATATTTTCGAATTGTTTTCCTTTTTTTCGTTTTAATTTCTCCTCTGTTGAAATTTGTAAGCGGAAAATCAAAGATCCCAATCTGCATTCAGAAGGTCGTACCAGCCAACTCAAAAAGTCATGCGGATTGGGGTAAATTTTACTGCAAGAGAGGAGCAGATCTTCAAAAACCTTTAAAAATGCCCAAAAAAGCAACGAAGTTTACAAAAATTGACCCATCAAAAGGTCAACTCTAAAAACAGTCGCCTCTTTGCAAATGACGCCCCGGAACCAACTACCCGCACTGCCGTGATGTGGAAGAACGCCGTATGAACATTCGAGAGTTGCCAAGTTTCCGAGAATAAAACATGTATTTGTGAGGAAAGTTTTGCATAGTTCTCTTGGAAATTTGCAGATATTTTAGATTAAACCGCGAACAAAATTGCCTGAAATTTTTTAAAAAACACATTCACAATTTTCCCGGTAAATTTCACTCTTTTTGAAGGAGATCCGGCAACATCCGGAGGCTCATACGACGTTTTTCCTCAGCACGGCAACGTAGCTTGCCATTAATATCTGTTCGTGAGATTTTTAAATCAAGTCAATTAGCAAATCCCATACACGGAGAAAAAAAACCTCGTGCGTGGGTCCCGAAGTTTAGGTCATATGGATCTCTGAAGTTTTCGGATTGAGCATCTGAACACTTCAGGTCTAGCTGTCGAGGTTCGGATCGCACATCTGAAACTCCAGTTCTTACATCTGAAGTACTTCAGATGTGAGAACCGAAGTTTTTCGGATGTGAGAACTGAAGTTGTTCGGATGTGAAAACCGAAGTACTTCAGATACAAGAACTGAAGTTTCAGATGTGTGATCCAAACGTCAGCAGCTGGACGTAAAGTGTTCAGATGCTCAATCCGAAAACTTCAGAGATCCACATGACCTACACTTCGGGTCCCACGCACGAAAATGTTTTTCTCCGCGATAAAAACTTTCTGTCCCGCACTTTTCAGGTATAGTAACATGTGCCTTCGGAATCGGTAGTAAGATCGACGACAACGAACTACTCAGCATTGCAAACAACGAGACTGATAACGTGCTCAAGACGCATTCGTACGCCACGCTGAAAGAGCATATAGCCTTGGTGGCCCGTCTGGCGAAGTCGATGCCGCAGACCCCGAAACTTGGATCGTTGACGAGGGACACGATGAAGAAGGCCGGCGAGAGGAGGTACTATCGATTCGCGGTGTCGCCGACCGGTGCGACCGTCATCCTGGACGACGAGTGGGGCCAAACTCGTGGCTACTGGACCTTTGCAGCCGAGCGGCCGTCCAGCGCCTTCCACGATGGGGTCCTTACCGAGGGCGAGACTTATATCGAACCGCCAAGACTCCAGGAAAATCGGAGTGACACGGGCGGTGGCGGGGGTGGGTGCC